AATTCCACTCCTAGGTATATACCCAAAAGACTTGAAAACAGGGACTCAAACCGATACTTGTACACCAGAGTTCATTGCAGCATTATTGACATTAGCAAAAAGGTGGAAACAACTCAAGTGCCCATCAACAGATGAATGGATAAACAAAATGTGGTTTATACATAAAATGGATTATTATTCAGGCATAAAAAGAAATGAAGTCCTGATACATGCTATGACATGGATGAACCTTGAAAACAGTATGCTTATATGAAATATCTAGAATAGGCATGTGCACAGAGACCTAAGTTTATTAGTGGTTGCCAGAGGCGGGAAGAAGGGGAGAAAGAGGGAGTTATTGTTTAAAGGACACTGGGTTTCTGTTAAGGGTGATGAAAAAGATTGGAAACAGATAATGGTGATGGTTGCACAAAATGGTGAACGAATTAATGTCCTGAAATGTACACATAAAAATGGTTGAAATAGAAAGCGTTTTCTTATGTATATTTTACAACAATAAATGTTTAAAAATGTAAGGGAGGTATGTCCCCATTTCCTGAAAGTAAAAACTGAGGCTCAAATTGATTATGAGCCTTATAAGTGGCAGAATCTGAAATAAAATTTTTACTTGACTCTCATTCCTGTGGAGCTTCCAGGTTGATGCATCTTCTCAAAATAAATGCATTATTCTAATACTGTAATTTTAATTCTGGGACCTGAAGCCTCTGAGTGAAAATTTCAGAAAAGGCTCATTTTTATTATTAATTCACTTAAGATAAAAAGATTTCTAACATCCAGGGATCAAAAGGAAAGACATATAAGGTACAAGGGAGTAACTTATCTGAGAACACGCACATGAGCATTCACAAACAAATGCTGAGTTCTGTCCAAGGTTCCATGAACGAGGAGAGGAGGAAGGAAGCTGGCCCTTGTTAAGCACTTACTACTGTGTGGACCTCTCATTTTGCTGGCATGTTTGCTTAGGCAATAGCGTTCAGTTCTCACAGCAAGTCCTTTGGCAACTATTAAATCTATATTATTACAAAGATATGAACAAAATTTTATGGAGATTGAAGTGAAATCTTTAATAGCAAAGAAACCTGGTATCAGAAAAGGATTGGAGAACCACGTGTTTTGCACTAATTCGGGGGAAGCTTTGGAAGTCATGTAAAGGGATTTTAATCTAATGATGGCTCCTTTCTCTTATTCTTCCATAAAAATGTTTAGAGCAGGCCAAGATTACCTGGTTCTATAAATACAGAAGTTTCTTGGTATACTTCCTCCATTTTGGCACTGAGACAACCCTGAATGGGCTCTCTAGGTCCAAGGAAAATTACAATAATCTCTTTTCTCCGGCTGTCCTCCCTTCCCATTTTCCCTCCCCTCTTGTCCAGCCCCCACCATGGCTGCACATATGCTGCTACACTCTGAAGGGTGTTAGTAGAGAAGCCTCTTAGTGGTGGCATTTCCCATGTATATTTCCTAAACTGAATTTATAAAAAGAGCTGTGGCTCAGTACAGTAAGAGCATGTGGACACCCTTTGGTCTGTCCTCACCTCCCCCAATTCCCTTCTGTGAGGGTAGCAATGTAACACTGAGGACAGACATAAATTTCCCTCTCAAGGAATACAGAGGGAAAGAATTGCTGTTATTAGAATAGTCTGCTCTTTTTCCACATTAAAAAAAAAAAAAAAAAAAAACTAGCAAAAAAGGAGAAACTGGAAATTGAAAGTCACATTTCTCTATGTACTTTACAGAATGCATGTTCAGTATCTTCCTAGAATCAATAAATTAATTTTAATTTAGGTAAAATGGTACTTAGATCTATCTGTATTTTTATAATAATTGAATAATAAATCCATTATTTGACTTTACTAAATGGGACGAGCAATGGTCTGGATATATTGTAAATAATGAATCATTCAAAAAGTTTAATTTCTTAGTTTGAGCAAAAGTGTGATTTTTCTACAGTTAATTGACCTATGTTTTACTAATGACAATATTAAAATTATTCTTTGCAAATGCCAACTAATTTTCAATAACGGCAGATCAAAAATGTTCTTAGCATTAGGGGACTGTGCCTGGGATTAAACATTGGCCATGCAATTTAAATAATGAATAATCCATTGAAGATTAAGAAGAATTTTTTATTTCTCACTAACTCCTAGCTGGGTTCTAGACTGAGAAAAGCTCGGGGAGGGGAGTGAGAATTCAGAGGCAGGTAAGAGGGCTTATGTGAGTGTATTGTGTCTTACTACTTGAACCTCACACACAAAATGTTCTCATAAATATTTTATGAATTTGTTGACTACATTCCAAATCACATTTAATATTTTTGAAATTTGTAGGCTTTCATTATATAAGTTTTCCAACTAGTAGAGTAGAATTTTGATTATATGTGCCTCAGAATTAATTTTATTCCTTTGATGAACATTTGGTGTGTGTATGTTTTAGGTAACTCATTTTTAAAAACAATGAAATAGCTGTCAGCATTTGAATGGCTATCAAAAACGTTATATATCACTTTGACTATTCATGAAGTGATAATATTTTTCCTAAGGGTAAGAGGGAAGAGTTTAATCCAGACCCAAGATTGTGTCAATCATATTAAAAAAAATCACAAACTCCTTGTAATTATATTGTAATTAATACTTGGTATAAATGGATTTCAACATTTGTTGTTTTTATACACATTAGGAATTTACCATCCTTTGCAAAATTAAAGTTAGCCTTATTAGCCAACTTTCCTTGGTTTGGCAGGTGTTTCTTGTAACAACAAACAGAACTGATCACTTTTTTCGTTCCTAGTTTTTATTTCTGCCTAAATCAGTAAAACATAGCCTCAAGGTTCCCCTATAACATTAAGTTGTTCAAAAAGTAGACAAAAGATAAAAATGAAGGTAATAAATACATATGATTAGTCTATTGTGGAGAGACAATCAGAAAAATTTGGGGGACACTGAAGATTGGTGATAAATGCAGAATTTTTTGTACTAATGGTTTTTGAAAATTAGTTACAATAATTTATTCTAAATAATGACATGTCAAATGAAAGGTATATGAATGAAAATTAAAATATACCTATCACTTTATTTAAAACAAAATTAGATGGCGAAATTATGAATTATATGACATTTATGAAAATGTAGCCTCTATAAAAAAACTGAAAAAGTAAAGATATATAAGCCATAATTATGGATCATTACAAACACATCTGATGTTTTAATTTAAAAGTAGCCATGACTTCTAAAGAAAAAGATCATATTATAAAAATGAATCCTAATTAGTTTTAAGTTAGATTTAAAAACAGTTTCTTCTGGAATAAAGGTGAATTCAGATTTATATGGATCTGTATTTTTAGATTTCTCATTTATTCCAAACCATTTAAGGCACTTAATATATGAGAGGTTAATCATAAGTATTAGGGAAAACTTTTGAAAATTGCTACCTTTATCCAAAAACTTTTATTAGAGAGAATTGATTTCCCAGTGTGAAGTTTTTTTCATTTAGCCATAAATAGGCACTGAATACACCATGATGAATAAAACACAGATTCTATCTGTTGTAGCTTAGAGCGTGGGGAGAGAAACAAATCATTGCACAAATAATCACTTAAAGGTACTTGTGATAAGTACCTTAAAGGAAAGTACAAGGCACTCTAAGACTGAAACAAGGCATTCATCTCTTCATGTGGAAAATCAGGGATGGTCGGGATGGATTTTCTTAAGATCACTCTGATTATGGTGTGGAGAATGAAGTGAGGATAGGCCAGAGTCAACTAGGAAACTTACAGATGACCAAGTAAGCAGTGACTATGGATTGATCTAGGTGGGGACGGTAGGAAAGGAGAGAAGTAGATGAATCCTAATATATTTTGGAGATAAAATTAACTGGACTTGGTAACTGGATGTGAGGAGAGAAGTTCGGGACAGGAAGTAAGTAGGATGTGTTCTAGATTTCTGGCATGAGTGCTGGAACGGTATTGTGTGCATTTGTTGAGTTGGGGTATGCTGGAGAGAATCCAGTTTTGGAGGAAGGGTCATGAGTTCAGTTATTGATATGCTTAATTTCAGATGCCTGTGAGATAGCTGAGTAGGTATTTCAGGCTGGCAGTTGTATATGTGGATCTGCACCTAAGAAGATAAGCAGGGGTTATGTCTAGAAATCATTGGCCTCGAGAATCCGAAGCCCACAAGTGTATGAGATCATGGAGAGAGAATGTGGGCTGAGAAAAAAATGACCCTAAAATACCCCACATTTAAAGGTCAAATAGAGAAGGAGGAAGCGGCAGAAGAGACTAAGAAGCTGTCAGAGATGTAATAGACAACAAGGAATAACTGCTGAAGATTAAAAAACAACAACAACGTCATGATTTTGAGTTTCATGTTGAGTAGGAATTCCTGTGTGATAGTAACTACTTGTAAGAACCAGGAGACTTGACTTTTGGATTAACAAAACCTGGAATTTCCTGTGCATTTTTTAAGATCTTAAAAAAAAAATGATTATTTTCCCCATCACTTGAAATATGATGAGAAATTAAATAATGTCTCTGGTGCTAAAAATTAAAATGTTGTGAATAAACATATTTGAAGCCGACATCATAGCCAGGTGTTTTCTTAGAGGATACTTACAAGAGCTACACTCAACCAAAATAGTTTTATTTATGGAGTTTTAATGTATAAAGAGGTATTTTTCTGCTTGCAAATATTGTTACTATCTGTTTGTGGTAGTTTGGTGAAACGTGGTTCCAACCATATGACAGTCTACTGGGAGTGAACATTTGGCCTCCCACCTGGATTGGAACTGCCTTTTTTCATTTCTGCAGTCAGCTACAAAGACAAGCTAGTCAAAGAAGGGCAGTTCATCATTATTAATATATTGCATAGCCTAAGCTTAGAAGAGCTCAAATCACTTTAAAATTTATGTTTAATCAACGAAGTGGGTATTAATTTTCACAGCATTGTTTGTGAAGCAGGTGTACTTGAAACATTCTATTAATGTGTGTCTCTTTTTTCTTATAGAGTTCCCTGGGGATACAAGGCCCCCAAGGTCCACCTGGAAAAGAGGGTCAGAGGGTAAGTAAACTTGGAACAACTGGCAGGCATTACCAACCCAGGAGTTACTTATTTCTGAACACTAATAAAAATAAAACCGAAATATAGCAAGCAGGTGGGCATACGGAGAGTATCAACTATCCAAAGCCTGGAATTTGAGATTTGAGATTTTGACAGAGGTTTTGCAATTCAGAAAATTCTATGTATTTTCAAGATTGGCAGCACAAATGTAGAGGTATAGTTTGGGTAAAATGAATTAACTGTAATTTGATCTAGACCACTTTGATCATACTTTGGGTTTCAAGTTAAGTTGGCAAGTATCTCTGTACAGTTCCAGCCTATTCATGAATTCTGTAGATTGTGGATATTAACTACATTTTTTAGCCAAATTAAATTATTGACATCAGTGACTCTTTGCAGTCCTCTTTCATTACTATTTACTGCCTTTTGACTGAGATAAAATATACAATAAGTGAATGATTTGTACTTGCATTTGGAAGCATAGCAATAACCTCAGGTTCTCCAGTGCAGTTCAGTCTCATCATCCCCCAGTACAAGAACTCCCTGGAGTGACAACTAGTCAGCTTCTGCTTGAACACTTTCAGCTGTGGGCATTCCATTCTTGTGGCTTGTTATTATTATGCTTTTTAAAAATCATTTTAAATTCTCAAAACATTTTTATATATGCTTTTTCATATGATTATTCAAGAAAAGTCATTGTGCTAAACAGAGCAAGTAGTATCAACTTCTGTTAACTTACAGGTAAGGATTCTCTGACTCAGAGTTTAGATGAGTCTCCTAAAATCACAGAGATAATAAAGCCAGGACTTGAATTTGGGGCTTCTAATTCTAGATCCCATGTTCTCTTTTATTGTCTAAGTTTGTTAACCCAAAATTGATTTTTTAGCCATTTATATTTTTTGTTTTCAGTTTTGTCCTCTGGCACAACATACAATAAGTCTGTTGCCTCAACTACATCGCAGTCTTTCAAGTATTTGAAGATACTTGTATTTTACAAAGGTTTACCTTTCATCGGGTTAATAAAAGCCCAATTTTCTTAACTCTTTTTCTTATCACATGCATTTGTAACCCCCAAACATGCTGCTTGTCTTTCCCCCAAAACACTCATTAACCTTCTGAGGTGTCAGGAATGGGACTAAACATGTGTGGTCTTATTTGGAGCAGAGTAAAATGTCCAAGTATACCATGTACCATAGACAATGTGCTTCTATTACAGCCTAAGATTGAACCAATGTTTCTTTGTATGGTATTGCACTTTTGACTCATATAGCCATGTTGTCAACTAAAATCCTCCCTGCTTTTGTTTTAATGAAAACTGCTGCCCGGTCAGAGCTTCACCCTCCTGTTTTTGTACAGTTGTCTTTTTGAATTTCAGAGTAGGATTTGATCCCTATTGTTAAATTTCGTCTACTGGATTTTGGTCCTTAATACAATCCTGTTGGGATTTTTTTCTTTTTTTTTAACAATTTGAATTCTGTTTTCTAATGAAATAACTCCCAGCTTTATGTCACCTTAAACTTTGATAAACCTTTCTTCTAAATCTTCTTTCAAATCATTAATAAATTCTGAACAGAACAGGGCCTGACCACTCTATGTAACACCAGCAGAGGCTGACAGTTTGTCTACCATTAACATTCTTATGCCACAATAATTTAATCAGATACAAATGCACCTGAACGCCACTTCCTCCCTGCCCACATTTCTTCATTTGGCTTGTAAGATAATTATGAGAGACTTTGTCAGATGCAAGCTCAAATGAAAAAAATATTCAAATGAGGCTTTTAAAAAATAATAATACTTCAAATTAAAATCGTACCCTATCAAAGCCTACTTTTCAGAAGGTCGAGTAAAGAATAAATTAAACTTATATATTCTTCACAGTAATCATGAAGGAAATTATTTATATTTTAAAGTTCAACCACTATTTTATGCAAATTTACTCCATCTATACATGTGTATAGTCCAGATGATTTTATATTACCTTTATTTTATCTCCTCTCAAGAGTAACGTAGTGCCAGAGAATAGAGAATTCAACAGAATTTTATAGACAAGCCATGGTATTTTCAGTTGCCTCGTACGTATGCAAAAGCTGGACAATTAATAAGGAAGACAAAGAAGAATTGATGCATTTGAATTATGGTGTTGACAAAGAATACTGACTACACCATGGACTGCCAGAAGAACGAAGAAATGTGTCTTGGAAGAAGTACAACCAGAATGTTCCTTAGAAGTAAGAATGATGAGACTTCATCTCACTTACTTTGGACAAGTTATCAGAAGGGTCCAATTCCTGAAGAAGGACATCATGCTTGGTAAAGTAGAGGGTCAGCGAAACAGAGGAAGACCGTTAAAGAGATGGACTGACACAGGGGCTGCAACAATGGGCTCAAACATACTTACTATTGTGAGGATGGCACAGGACCAGGCAATGTTTTGTTCTGCTATACGTGTGGTCACTATAAGTTGCAACTGACTTGACAGCACCTAACAACAACGTACACACATACTCACAGAGAGCTAAAACCAATAATTTTTCTATTTCACTGAAGTTTACAGTAGAAAACAACAGTTAGAACTAATGTATGAATTCAAAATACATTTTATTGACCCATTGTGTACAAAATTTTTATATTTTGATTACAGATGTTTGACCAGAAAGGAATTAACTATCATTAAGCCTATTGCAATGAAATATAAAATATATGGCAAAACTTACACAGTTGACTTCTAGGCATAATATTTTTAGTGAAAGTAGAACATCTTATCTCAGACAAATCATTAACTTGTTGGTTTTCCTCAGTGACTGAATAGCCACTTACTACTCTACCAATTTCTCAGAATTACGGTGAATTTAAAACATGAGTGTCGTGTAAAGATACTCTGAAAAATATCAAACATTAGAGAAATATGCTAATATTGCTACTATTATTTTTGTTGAGATATAAGAATTGTAATTAATAAATTCATTTTCTTTTTCCCTTTATCCCTTTTGCAGTTTTCTATAAGCATAATAAGAAAGCTATTTTACACTGGAATTGTCTGAAATTTTTATTAGTTGATTTCATTCTTTTAATTGTCTTTTAAGCTGCTAAATCTTGATTTATAAAATGCTCATTTGATGAAATTTAGAAGTATTTGTACTGCTTATGCTAAAATGCTACTCTTAACCTCAGCAATATTAGGCAGCTGATATTTATTGAAGGTTTGTGGGCTTTTTTTTTTTTTTTTTTCTCTCTCTTATTCCTCTTGATCTTTTTATTGGAATCCTTTATGTGCCATAAAACTTTTTTTTTACTTTGTTATCTTTTTTAAGCCCTGCAAGTAAAACTTTTGGCCAGCACATTGTTGTGATCTACATCCTTTATGGATTAACACAAATAATTTTTTTTTTAATTCAACTAATGTTCGGTATCTACTGTAAGTCATAGATGAGAATGTATCAGAGGTTAGTGGGGAGAACAGGATGGGGATCTGGAGGCTAAGAGGCTGTTCAGGCCATGACGAAGACAGAGAAGGGCCAGGAGGGGGACTAGGACATTGCAGGACTAAGAAGTCATAGTAGAGAGTCTCAAGATGCATGGAGGTTTAAACAGTATGTATTAAAATTTGGAACAGAATCAGGGGACCGATGTTGTAAATGGGAAGAGGCGACTGGAATGAGTGCCAATTGAGAGAAAAGTTTTACATGAGTTATGGGAATGGCACTGGAAACAAAAATTGCAATAAAAAGTATAAAGGAATGAGGGGTGAATTGTGAAGAAGGGGAGGCAGCAATGGGAGAATGTAGGGGGAAAGATAAGGACAGGGACAGATAGAAGCCCCGAGAGGCATCTTAGTAAAAAGTAGAGTATTTCAGGCAACTGAGCCTGTTCATAAGTATTTAAATGAAACATCACAAAGAAACTGGCATTTATGAAAATTCTCTGTAAGATATAGATTCCTTATATTAGGAATTAGGAATTATAATTTTCTATTTTGGGAGATTCTGTATATTCCTAATAGAATCTCCCAAAATAGAAAATTATAATTATTTTAACATATCATAAAAATGGCTTGGGGGCAGTGTCTGACCTCCTCCATCCCCACAAGGGGGAAGGAGAACCAAGATCAGCAGCACAAGGCTGACTCCCATGAGGTGGAGGCCAGACAGGTGACTTTCTCTGCCATCTCTACAGTTCTGACACCAACTGTCCCTCCCACAGCACTCTCCACTGGGTTTGATAGTTCATTGCAATGGCTACACAGAACTTACAGACCATACTCACAATTATGGGGATTATTAGGTAAGTAACAGTTAAAATTCAGGATCAAGAACACTCAGGATACAGTTCTTACATCAGGATAGCCTCTCTCGAGCTGTGCTCACAGGCATGCCTCACTGGCCCTCAGTCTCTGCCCAAAGGCACTCAGCTTTCTCTCTGTGGGCCTGGAAGCCCACTGGTCTGTTTCCTGCTGCCAGATCTCTGCTGCTGGGTCTCTCCTTCCTTGGTGGTGGTTGGCTCCTCTCTTGGCTCTGGAATTGGCTCACAAGGCAAAACTGACCAGCCCCCTTGGTGCACCACAATTATCACACAGTCCCACCCAATCACCTGGGTGGGAGTAACAAGACCATAGCTGGAAAGGCCACACACATAAGTAATAGTTACTGGTGATATCAGTAGTTAGTGCCAAAGACAGAGGTTTGTTTGGTCGGATCAAGAAAACATCTCAGTCTTGCACTCCATGTTGTTAGATTCTAATTTTAATACCAAATAGACATTTATGTTTTAATTTCCCCCACCTCGTGTTCTTCATTTATCATCTCTGCTTTTCTTTCTTTGTTTTTCCTTTCCACTAGGCAACCATATTCCCTTGATTGTCTCCTTCCATCATTTTTATATACATTTTACTTTACCTTGGAGCACATGCTCCAAGGTAGCTTTGAAACTTGTGTCTTGGGTCGGGGTTCCTTGCATTCTAAACAGCACAGAGAACATGAGCCTGTATTTCCTTTGCCCCT